TCCCTCAGTTTGACACCTCATAACATCTAGTTTTGCAGCAGTTTGCAGTACTTTTGTCTTCTTTTCTGCACCAACTGTTTTAAGAAAGTTCAGGAGCCGCTGTCCCTTTTTATCCAAGCTTTTAAGGAACATCTCCTTTAGATCCATTCCAGTTAGCTGCTTGAAGTGTACACACATACCAACCTCTTGAAACAGAAAAGGCCAGTTCTCACAAAGCTGTTGTATACTTTGCTCCGTTGAGAGTAGTATGTTGCTTTCAGAAGGTTGCTAACTTCTTCTGGGTCAACATTTGTTGTTTTAGACTTGATCTTCATCCTTTCTTGTTTATCCAGCTGGCTCTCTTTAGTCTCATTGAGCGGCATTCATTTTAAATCCCAATTCACACAGCCGCAAGTGTCTTGAACCACTGCCTTTCTTTCAGCACGAATCTTCTCTGTGTCAGAGTCTTCTATTCTGCTACGTTTTCTGATTTTCGGTACATTGGGTCTCTTCACATTTTCTATGCGATTCTGAATCTGCTTGACCAGCGAGTGATACCCTGATCCAACTATATCACCTTCGATAACATCCTGCAAGGATGCAGGGTATTTGGCCACCATCTTTTTGGCAATGGCTACAGAGATTTGTTTACTGGGACAGTCACATAACTTCATCATTTCAGACACGACAATTCTTACCATATCTCGTCGCAATCTTGGGTTTGGTCTTTACTTTCTTTCTAAACATTGAGTCAATGCTCCTGGAAACTTCTGCTTAAAATTGTCAGCCCAGTCTGAAGCAACTGTGGAAGCCTTGCCACATGATGGGGTTGATGAACATGAAGTGCCACTGCTGCTCTCTCTAGAACTTGACAAGCTATCAGCACTTTGTTCTAAAAAGACAAAGGTAAAAAAAATGACTTATTTTTTTGATCACTTATGAAACCAGATTATTTAGGAACACTTTTACATTTCTATACATTATGAAATCATAAGATGAAATGTACTTACTGATCTGGCTCCAAGCAGATACAAGTTTTCTGGACTGAATGGGTCGTAATACCACTGTATTCAACATGTGGGGTGTGATATCAGCTGTGCAAACAACAAACAGTGAAATATTATGATGCAAAAATATCAGTTTGGTTTGTATTATTTTAGTTTAAATCTCTTTGTCCATAATCTGATCAATGGACCAAATTTGAGTATCAGACCTGGATAGTGTCGCAGGTAATGATGTTTTTGTTTTAGATTTACTTCCTGAAAGGCTGCTTTTCTAGATTCCAAGTAGGGCTGCACAATTAATCGAAATGAAATCGCAAAGGCGATAAATCCCGATTAGGCAGAAGCTGCGATTGTCATGAGTATCTCTCAGTGAAGCACGGTTCTGTGATCAGCAGTAAATCTACATCCGAAGGCCAGAGGGCGCTCTCACGTGGAAACTCCAATTACGCCCTGCAGAAGAAACCCAGAAAATGCCTATCGCTGCAACTGAATAAATAGAAGATTTAACTGCTTTCATTGATTCAATGTGACTAATAAACAAACACACGACTTTGACAATATATATATATATATATATATATGGTTTATCTGAGTTCGTCTTATTATAATTTTTATTATAATAAAGTATATAATAATGCAATGCTAATCGACACAGCCTTTATCACTGTTTAGAATACTATGAAATAGTGCATGCCTTAATTATTCTGTTTAAGAAGCCACATCAACTCACAGAAGGATTGTTCTTATTTGTTATTCTTTGTTGTTCTTATTGTTGATGTTATTAAATGTCGTATTTTCACGTGCTTTCAGATGGAGCCGCATTTACTACACAGAGCCGTAGTTCACTGAGAATCTACGCAAACAGCTGTCATGATCGCGAACGATTTCTTCGATTTCATAATCGTACAATTATATCGTCTGCGATTATAAACGCGATTTAACGCATAGTTTGTCAGTGAACTATGGCTCTGTGTAGTAAATGCTGCTCCATCTGAAAGCACGTGAAAATACGACATTTAATAACATGTTTTTACTCCAAACTCACTTAACTACTAATCACAGAACTGGCTTTACTGACAAGTTATTTTTGTAATATATCCAAAGTAATTTTTGATAAGAACATCCAAATAAGCAACCTGTGACACTGAAATTTTCTGAGCGCCAAATCAGTTCAACAATGTCCTTTAGCTGAAGAGTTAATTGCCAAACCTCATCTGCAGGATCCAACACACTATCACGAAGTATAACAGGTAGAAGTCATAAAAAATTCAAATTTTGAATAACCTGACCTGCCAGCTTAGGTCCATGAGAATTGACCTCAGAAGGTTTTGTGAAAGCATCAGAGCCATTATATTTGAACTGCCTGATTCGATGGTTAAGATTGGATAAATTAACCACTTCTTCTTAAAAAAGTACTTGATGTAAAGAGCAACATCATAAGACAACATGCCTTCATAAATGTCGTGACCAAGGCAAGGTGGCAAGCCAGGTTGGCACACTTTAAAGTTCTTCAAAGAGTTGAAAACTTTATGCCTTGAACTGTTTCCTTTTCGGTCTGTAATTGGTTAACAACAGCACTGTAGCCCTCAACTGTCACGCGTGCCTACTGTGCTGGAGCGAGGAGATGCGGAGACGTAGGAGATTCAACGAAGAACAGTCTTTAATGAAAGCAAAACAACAAGGAACACACACGTAGCACCGGGGATAGACGTTTAACAGTGGACGCTAGACATGGGAAAACACAGGGCTTAAGTACTCGGACTAAACGAGGAGATTAACGGGACATAGCTGAAACAAATGGAACTTAAAGGGAACAGGAACAGGAAAACCAAATATGGGCAGGAAACACGGGAGAAACTAGGTCATGGAAGGCACATGGAGAGAAAAACACAAGACACAGGAACACACATCCCAGATCAACACTGTTCACGTATCGCAGGGTACGATTAAATTCATTTACATTTAACCAGTTTAATATGAAGAGACAGTGAAATGTAGACCTTCGTTTATGTGTTTTTGCCCTACACTGTACAAGACGCGAGAACAGTCCGCTATTTAGGTTTGTACATTAGCATGGACTCACCAACTTTAACATTAGCTAGTTTTAGCCAGAGATACCTTGCTGAAGCACAAGATGACACTAAAGTTCTGCTTGAGCAGATGAAAATTGTAACAATGAGAGCATGACAACCAGAAAATGAACGTTTTTGTCTTCATTGGGATTGGGGGTGAATGCTTGGGGACATTTTGCTCCGTTTTGTTTGGGTTTAGGAAATAGAATAAAATAAATTCCATTGCCCATCCTCTCAGGATACCTGGAATCAGTGTTACAAGTACCCCAGGCACATCGTTTTTCCATTTTTGAAGCATAAACCCCATAAAAACGATGCGAGCTTCGGATCTTCCAGTGTTTCTCTATGGTGCTGAAACCTACAGATGTCCGAGTTCCGCTCCCCGTGCAACTGATACTCGACTGCCATTGGCTCATCTGCGTTCGAGGGGAGGGGCTTACCGATAGGTCAGTTACGTACCTTACTGCACGTTTTACGGCAGTTTCAAAGTGAAATGTCCAGAGAGTGGTGCTAACACACACGTTCAATAAGTGACCGTGGCACATTTATATTATGTTGGTACAGGCACGTATTGCTGCATTTTTATTACGCAGCTTGAGGTACGTATTGCGGCTGTTCAGAATTCAAATATTCGGGGAGTGTCGCTAAAAGTTAATGCTTTATCGTGTTGGAAATATCCCAAAACCCAACCCTAAACCTACCCGATTGTGTTAACAAAACCTACTGAATTAGAAAACTCATGCATATGAAGCTGTATATGTGATTCACATATACAACGTTCAAAAGTATCAGTGTTCAAATTGCGCAGGATTTTAAAATTGTTTTGAAGTCATAATATTCTGTAAGTAATTGTGTGACAATGTGTGCTTTATTAATCACAACTCTGTAAACTGCAGTGATTTGTACATATATGTACGATTTTTCAGTTTTGCAGAAATGTATATAGAGGCACGTATTTCCAATGAGCCTATGTTGTTAAAATTCCATCACTTACCATTGCTCACTTTTTCTCATTTTCCACTTCCCCTTCATTCTCAAACATTAACACATGTGACTGACACAAACTAACTTTATCAAAGTTCAGTCAGGACCACTCTGTTCGAGTCAGAATATTGTAGAGGTCCTGAACTTTATATTTGGCGGCAGGCTTTGCTCTGAAGGGTTCAGATTCTAAGCTATCCACAGGCAAACCTCACTGAGGTTTGAACCCCCCTGAAGCCTAAGCAATTGCCAGATATTTTAATATGCACAGTTATATATACCAAGTAGAGTAACACCGTACTGTGGATAATATTGAACAATTTGAGTAACATGAGCTGGATAGATGATATATCTCTGTGGGCGAGCAGTTAAGTGATCATGTATCTGCATAGGAGGAGTTGGGGATGGAGGAGGGTAAGCGCATGTCTGTGCGACAGACTATGGCAAGCGTGAGTACGGATGATCTTATATCTTATTAATTGTAGTGTGAGGAGTTACGATCAGCTGAACGTCAGCTGATGCTGCAGTCACGCCGTGGTCTGGCAAAATTTGCTTTGTGTCTGAAAACTATTACCTCAGTTATCTAATAAACATTGCACAAGTTAAGATTAAAATTAACTACGCTGGAGCTCCATTCGTCGCTCAAACTAGATATATTATTACCAAACATTACTGTCTGAACCCCTGACATGGGGCCCCCTGGTGGCCATGGGGCTCTATGTAACCACATATTTCACTTATAGGACTGGCACTGGAATCAATATTGATTCATCATGAAGACCTATTGATTTTAAGACTTAAAATTGGGAAATCAAGATTGTCAACCCAGCCCTAGTAAGAATATCATGATTTATTGGATTTGCATTATTAGTGGTGTTTGCTAATTGTTTGCTTTGCTGTGAAGATTTAAAATTTTAAAGATGTTTTATGTGATGAATGCTAACTAAGGTCTCTGATGTTTCAGATAAATGCTGTAGCAGGTTCTACTCTCCTCCTGAAGATAAAAATCAGCTGAATAATATCTGCAAAAGTAATGTGTGTCTCTGCTCACAGGGTCCGTCTCTACTCCTTTCTTTCATTTTGCACATGAAACATGTTAAATGGGCAAATTATAACATAGTATTTATATGTATAGTATTGCTATATATTTTTATGTATAGTAACCTTTGAAAAGCTTTAAAATGATCCCTTGCAAACCATGTCATTTGTTTTATATTTTATGAGTGAATTAATCCTTTAATATTACTTTTTTCACACATAAAGTATGTGCATTTTTTATACATCTTAGCTTTTTAATTTTTCTGCACAGGTAACTGCTGTGTACGAAAACCAGAAAATATGTCTTCTGGAAAACAGCAGTGGAAACTAGCTGCATGCAAAGGAAGATTATGGTGAATATTTATGGGGGGGTGGGGGTGTCTCTGAGGGCAATAAATTGTTTTAATTGGTGTCTTCTCTTCAGTCTACAAGGTTAAACTGATCAGTGTAAAGAAGTGTCACTACGATCAGTACGAGATGAAGATCGTCCAGATTATACAAAACGGTAAGTCATAGCTGACTATTTTATTTTAATGGATAAGTTGAACTAGTGAAGGAAAAGCTGGCAACTAGTGCCCAGTGTGTGTGTGTGTGTGTGTGTGTGTGTGAGAATATTCCCTCTAATTTTTGTTTTCCTGCTTTTTTTTTCATGAGCAAAACTTTTCTCTATTGGGCGGACATTTTGGCCACTTGCAGTACCGTTTCTCGGCATAGGCAAGCTAGGCGGTCAGCTAGGGCGCCACCAGCAGGAGGGGGCGCCAATAAGCGCACATACTGGAGCTACATTTTAGCAGGGTTGTGATAATGAGTGGCACAGTACACTCTAAAAAATGCTGGGTTATAAACAACCCAGCTTGGGTTATTTGGCAACCCAGCGCTGGGTACATATTGGACAGAACACATGCTGGGTTATTTTGACCCAGCTGGTTGGGTTAAACGTTTTTACCCACCATGCTGGGTTGTTTAATTTAAGTCTATTGTTTAATAGATGGCCCAGGTCAGGAAGCAGACAGACTGGCTAAACCGACCATCTGCTAGCTGCCTAATGTCACAGAAATAAGTTAATTCTCAGCACATAGAGACTCTTTCACCTAGATAATCACACTATAGAGAGTGTGTCTTTTCCACGAACTAGAAAATACAAAAAAAAACATCCAAACCAATTTAGGAGTAACAATTTAATTGATGTTCAACAAATAAAAAACAGATGTAATACAGATAAACAAATGAGAAAGCTTGGCTTATTGAATATCAGGTCCCTTTCTACGAAAGCACTTTTTGTAAATTATATGATCACTGATCATAACCTAGATGTGCTCTGTTTGACAGAAACCTGGCTAAAACCTTTTTGACCCAGCTGGTTGGGTTAAACGTTTTTACCCACCATGCTGGGTTGTTTTATTTAAGTCATCTATTGTTTAAAAATTATTATATTGCTGGCTTAAAATGGGTTGGAAATTAAAAATCACACACAGAATTAATATAGGCAACAGCAATAATCAAAAGATGAACATTTATTATTAAGCAAGAACACCCATTGACAAAATACAAAACAAGTTGAATTTATTTGGGTGAATACAGCATAGTTTACAATATTACATACATTTAAACTCATTTATCATGCATTAATAAAAAAGGCACATTTAAAAGTAGTATTTTAATTTAAGTGTATTCAACCGTTCTCTGTAATCACTTTTTTACCGAAATAGTGCTAATACTCGTGCCGGTGTGTCGCCGAAATCTGAGCCGGTGAAGGGCTGCTGTTCGCTGGAGGAACTACGAACTTTAGACTCACGTTTCACTCGTAGCTGAAAGATTCTGCGACTGACTCCAAAACCTGCCCATAAACAAACAGTACTGAGATTAGAGAACATATTTTAACCTCAAATTAATTTAAACTCAGTATAACAAATAAAATCCATTTATGTAATGCGAGGCAAAAGGCGTTTCCATCGTGCGGAATTACCGCTGCTGACGCAGCTGACTGACATGATCTCGTCTTTGTTGCGTTGCCTAAAATAATATAATATAATATAATATAATATATAATTTAATTTTAACTTTAAAGACTTTATAAATGAAATAAAATATATACAAACCTTTATTTCCCGGAAAGAGAGCACCAAATCGGCGGTGGCAGTGCTGAGAAATGCTCTCTCCCAGGGATGGACTGGGAGTAAAAAACGGCCCTGGATTTTCTCCCAAATAGGCCCACCACAACTACAAACAGTCGCTACTATCTCACAATATTACAGCAATCCTATCGCATTTATGGCAGATAACATCACAAAACCCATGGTGACCCTGCTGACAAAAACAATGGAAACCATCACAGAAATTCAAATGATTTCCACTACAAATACCATTACAAACATTACAAACCATCAACTTTTAACCATTAAAACCATTAAATAATGGTTTCCTGTAGTGTGTTTTGGGACATATTACATTAGGATTTAGTGGTTTTCAAGGAACACTCCACTATTTTTGAAAATAGGCTCATTTTCCAACTCCCCTAGAGTTAAACAGTTGAGTTTTACCATTCTCGAATCCATTCAGCCGATCTCCAGGTCTGGCGGTAGCACTTTTAGCTGTAGCTTAGCATAGATAATTGAATCTGATTAGACTGTTAGCATCTCGCTCAAAAATGACCAAAGAGTTTCTATATTTTTCCTATTTAAAACTTGACTCTTCTGTAGTTACATCGTGTACTAAGACTGACGGAAAATGAAAAGTTGCGATTTTCTAGGCCGATATGGCTAGGAACTACTCTCATTCCGTGGTAATAATCAAGGAAGTTTGCTGCAGTACTATGGGTGCAGCAGGCGCAATGATATTACACAGCGCCTGAAAATAGTCCCCAGCTAGGTAACTTCCAATA